TATTATTATTATTATTATTATCATTATTATTATTATTATTATTATTATTATTATTATTATTATAATTCTCATTCTTATTATTATTATTATTATTGCTATAATTATCAATATTTGATTAACGATCCTCTACTGATTATTATTGCTATTACTAATGATTGCTAGATACACACTTTTATATATATATAAAAACACGAGTATGACAAGCTCACCTATATAACGCTTTATAAATATGGTACATATTAGTACGAATACATTTTTTTATGCTCCGGTTATCTCATTTTTGTCCTTTTGAAGCAAGAAAATAAAAAGAGAAAAGATTCTTTACTTTAATTAGAAAGAAAAACACTTTAGTGCGATAGGTTGATCACCTAATTGCTGTCGTGTTATATATATATATATATATATATACATCTCTACTTAAGCTTCTGAGGAATAAAAAATAAATTCATAAATGACTTTTGATTATAAATAGTGTAAATTTTTTATATAGCGCGAATATAATTATTGGTAGCGCGACTTCTACGGGATGTGCGCGTGCATTGTGTATAAAACAGAAAAAATGCGGAAAAAAGATGGAAAAATCGGAATTACACGTTCGTGGTACATATATCTTTCACACACGGTCTTTCGATCTTTTTTTTTTCTTTTTTTTTTTTTTTTTTTTAACTTCATATTCTTTCACCGTTCGTTCTTTTCCTGCATTACGGATTGTGCGATTTCAGATCTGTCTGTGAAATTTATGTAGTTATAGCGAATCGTACTGTGTACATTCTATTCCTTGAGAGCGTATATACTCTTTGTAAAATATGTAAAAGTGCGATACAATATTCAGTATTTCTGTACACACGGTTTGGTATGTCTTTTTGTAAATTTCTGTGCGATTATACGATTCGTCGCCGAACAATGGAAAATTTTGTTATAATAAAGGATCCGAATCGCGGAATTTGTAACGCAAATAGTATCGAACTTATTCTGGCCTGTAATGAAGCAAAAAAAAAAAAAAGTATAAAACTAGGGAGAAGAAGACCATCGACTGGTTCGTTCGTCTCTCTCTCTATCTCTATCTCTCTCTCTCACACACACACAAACACACACACACACACACACACATATACACATTCTCTCTCTTTCGACCTAAAAGAAGCGTGTAAACTTCCAAATTCTGAAACTGAATTGGATGAAAACCATCGAAATTCGCCGCTGCACAATTCGTATTTAAGAAATTTCGCGCACGCTGAAAAATATTATCAAAGGGGCACCTTTTGTATTGTAATATCCCTGTATATAATGAATCACGTATGACAGTATTTGGTAAACAGGTGTTTTTATTTGTTCAATCTAAATTTTATTAATGTGCCCTATTCTAAATTCTTGTATAGCTATAATCGTTGGCCAGAGGGGCACAACGAAGACCTATCAATTATTCGGAACTTAGTGAAAGGTAAATTAACTATTGTTTTATATTATGGTTCTTCGAAAAACATTCGGGGCTCGATTCGAAATATACAGAGATATCGTGCAACTAATATAACGGCGTTCCCACGTTGCGTTACGTATATCCCTTTGCGCTCCCTTTAAACCTTTAATATTTGTACTTTAGATACAATCACCTCTTTCTCTTTCACCCTTTCTGTACCCGGACACACGCCACCTCATTCTTAAGGGTTTCTCGAGAACATCTATATAAAGAAACAAAAAATAAAATGAAACGTGAAATCAAGAAAGGGTTCCCTGTGGGAACGCGTACGATTCGAAAGAGGAAAACAATTAAGCAACCCTATAAATAATTGATTATACATATATATACATATAAATATATATATATCTGTATATGTATACCTAAAATCTTTGAAAACTATCGATATATGATATATATGTAATAAGTACTATTTAAATATTGTAACAATTGTATATGATTTTAATACTACATGCTAATTGTATTATATATATATGAAAGATCTGCGACCTCCCACTTGTAGAACACACTCGATCGTACACACCCATCCACACTGATCTACATACACCTATACATACACGTGCACACAGATACACACACACATTCATATTTGCAAGTTAAACGCGCGCGCGCGCACACAGCACACACGTAGACACTAGAGACAGATTCGTATCGGTGAACATCGTATCCGTATATACGAACGTTTAACGAAGAAGAAGCAAAGCTTCTCTCTCTTTCTTCGTTGGATGTAAGCTTGCGAATACAAATTTACAATATACACGATATATACATACAAAAGCATACATATTCGGGACACCGTGTACTTCATTTTTTCATCATCTTCGCACCCACCGGTTTCAACTGCCATGGCGCTATATTCGTTAAACGAGCAAACAGTTAATCGAATAACAAAGAAAAACGAGAATTAGAAAATTGTTTCGCGATATCCTTGGTTCACCGTTGGAGTTGGCACCCGTTCGGGTTGACGAGATACGCTCGTGAACCAAGGAAGAACGAAAAGGACGTAGTAGAGTTAACATCCACGGGAATGGTGCGCCCTGATATTAAGACTGATGTACAGTAGCGCGCTATTCTCATCACAGAGATATCGTCATTTTCTCATCATTTCATCATCTCACAGAGATACACGTAACACATTTTCCTCGACACGGTCACACGAAGACAACCATGGATTCGCAGGGCTAATTGAACATATATATATAAATATATATATATCGTATATATTTGTCAGATATATGTCATATATGTATGCGTACACTCGTTTGCCACGCCACTGGCTCTTACACTTGCACGCGTCGAATTGTCATGTCACTCGTGACTTTTATTATTCTGATATATTTAATCGCGTGCGTGTACATTGTTGCGAATTAAGAATCGTTCATTGATGCGAAACGTAAGAAAAAGATATCATCGGCTAAATCGTAAGGCGTTTGTAATATATACGAAGCATGTATAAGCTGTAATTGTAAATTGTTTGACGTGTTGCGTTTGCTTTGAATCGCTTGAAAAGGAAAAATATGTGAAATTTTGTGATAGACGGTAATAACTTTTTGAAAGCTCTCTTCTTGTATTCTAGCTTCTCGTTAATTATTATCGGTTTCACAATAGCGGTTTATTCATTCGTTGAACGTAAAAAAAGAAAATAATAAAAAAATAATTGTTGTTCGATACTCGCGCGAGCAATGTACGAGCCGGTGACGGCTTTTGGGACACACGGTAGATGCAGAGGGATATAAAAAGCAAGAAATATATTCCATATTAGCGGATAATTAGATAAGTGGGACGGACAGGCATACGGATTAAAACAAAAAAATTGCATAACTTGTATATTAGTGTATAGAACGTAGAAACGATGAAATAGCCACGAAAAGAATCATTTTCGACGATGTTTTTTACAAGCAGGCAGAACAGTGCGAGTAGATTAAAGATACAAACAAAAAAAAAATGATAAAAAATACGTCATTGTACCATTTAAGTAAAAACTAAAAAAAGGAAAAAAGTAACGAGAGAGCATGTCAAAAAAAGCAGTTTATAAAAAAAATGCACTAGCGACGAAAAAGAGCCACTACAAACCGCCACCCCGAAA